CCACAACACAACAATGGCTCTTTCCTTCTCATTAACTAACATGGGACACATTCCGTTGGGATGTTTTACTGCATACGTGTTGTTAAAATGAATGGAAGCCACACAAGGGGAGCCATGTGCTCCTGGCAGCCTCTGTTCTTCCACACTGCTTCCCCTAGAGGAATGTCCCAAAGGACAGTGTCCTAGTCAGGGGCCATTTCAATTTTCTGTATCAGATATCAAAATGCCTTTTGCTGCTCCTACTGTCATGTGCCCTTAACCTCATCAGATCTCAGAAGCTAAACAGAGTTGGCCCTGGTTAATATTTGAATGGGAGACCTCCAAGGAATACCAGGGTTCCTACATAAAGGCAGGCAATGGCAAACCACATCGGAATGTCTCCTGCCTTGAAAACCCTATGGGGTCATCGTAAGTCACTGCGCCTTGACGACAATTTCCACCACCACTGTGATGCATTGAACACTCTTTGAATGGACGGTGTGGTAAGAAATTTTAGAAATATAGAAAGTTTGGGTTTAAAAATGAACCAAATAGTTTGTAAAACCCATATATCTGCCTTTGCTAGCAAACAGGCTTGGCCTTTTTCACTGAACCAGAGATGTAACACATTCCATTCCCAGGAAATCTCCACAGGTGTGAGACTTACAATAACCAGCAATAAACTGCAGCTGGCCAGGAAGGCCATTTGGGCAGTAACAGACCCTAATCCAAAATGCAAACTCCTGAGACACAGGATTTCATATACCCCACTGCCACCTCAGAGATAACTTCAAAGTAATCTCTCTGATAACTTCAAAGAACAGTTTATCCCCAATGGTGGGAACACCAGGAAAACAATAACACTATACTGATCTGGTAAATAAAAGTGTAAACTTTTGTTGTGTGAGACCAAGGAAGCAATTTCCTGCTAGACAATTTCAACTTCTAAATATTAATTTACAACTATAATTTAATTATTGAGGGACCTCTTTGATCATTTGGTATAAATACTGGCCAAATCCAACAGATCTTCGTTGGCTCTGGAAGGATCAGGAGAGGCTTATCCTCCTGAGAATTTGGAGTCAACCCGAGAGGCCTTTCGTTCCCTGCATGCTTTGCTTGCATGTTTATTTTTCTGTGTATTTACTATCAATATTTAGGAAATAGGATTCTACTGTGTTGGCAAGCTGGCATAGCGTCTTGCTGGTCACCTTGCCAGGTAAATCTTTGAATGTTTTTCTTTAATAAAGATAAGTTTTATTTTAAGAAAAGACCTTTGAGTGTCTCTGCCAGCATTTAGTGGTTTCCAAGCTTACAGCTCTGCCTCTGGTGATGAGGCAACACTCAGGGGACACACGAACCAGAGGGGGAGTGTGGGTGGCACGGACAGACGCATTCACAGACACGTGCAGCCACACACACATTTTCTCACAACAGACGGATGTAGAATTTTCCTGCATTCCTTCCCATTCCTGCAGCCCCTTCTGATCCCTGGAAAGATCATTCCCATGGCTGTGGGATTCACACAACAGAAACAGCCATGCAGTTGGGAGAGAGAAAGGGGGCATGCACAACGGGATGAGATTGCTTTTCTGTCTACTTCCTCAAGTGTAATTCTCCTGAGGAAAGGACTCACTTTCACCCCCTAGTCCTTCCACTCTCCAGCCCACCAACCCGCACAGCTGTTCCTCTGCAAGGGCCCAAACTTCTCGGCTATGGGAAAGGGATGTAGGAGGGGAGGGGAATGGAAAGCTACTCAGGCAAACGCCCGTGTGCTTTCCATATACAGAGAGCTGGTCGCTAGAGGGGTGGTGGGCTGTGTGTTCGTGCCAGCCCCTCCCCCAGGCAAGCAGACTCTTCTTATCTCTCATCTGAGACCAGTTCCAGTCCCAGAAAGGCTTGTTTCCTCCCAAGGTGGACTTGAGGCCCAACAACTTCTTATGTGGGAGATCCATACCTGGACCTCCTGATTTTTAAAAAAGTTGAAAAGCAGTTGGAGAGGGAGGGAGTGATGTTAGGGAAAGGGGGTTAATTCCTTCTGTGCCATTCCCGCAATGGAGGTGCACTTAAAAGACGCTGTCAGCTCTGTGTGTGTGCGTAAAGGCAAGAGACAAAACAGAGGTGGTGGTTTGCCATTGCCTTCCTCTGCACAGCGGCCCTAGAATTCCTTGGCAGTCTCTCCCATTCAGATCCTAACCAGGGCCAATCCTGCTTAGCTTCCGAGATCGGACGAGACCGGGCTAGCCTGGGCCATCTACTGTAAGGAAAACCAGCAGGCACAAAATTGATGTCTCCCCAGCACCCCCATGCAGCTAATTCCATGTGGGGTGCTGGTGTGATTTTTGTTGAAGACATGGTCCAGGAAGAAGCTTCAGCCCTCCTTCTCCCCAGTGCTGTAGCTACAATCAAGCCTCCCTCCACAAAGCTGTTTTTAATGACTAATAATTAGTGTTGCCAACCTCCAGGTGGTGCCTTGAGATCTTCCACCATTACAACTGATCTCTGGGCAAAGAGATCTAGGGTGGCCAGGTCCCCTTGTCACTCCAAGGGGGGGGGATCTGGGTGGCATTCTGGGACATCACCCAGAAGTGACATCATCACACTGGGGACATCATGTGGGGGATGCTCTGGTTTAAGGGCAAAACTCTTATGGTAAAACTGGCTTAAAACCACAGAGTTTTCCCCTTAAACCAGAGCGTCCCTGCATGATGTCCCTGGGATGTAGCTGTTTGGAGCTGAGGTTTTCCTCCTGGCCAGCAGCGGGGAGAAGCCCCCCAAACCGGGGGAACCTGGGGACTTGCAAGCCTATAGAGATCAGTTCACCTGGAAAAAATGGCCGCTTTGGAAGGTGGACTCTGCCATGGCCTCATACCCTGGTGAAGTCCCTCCCCTCCCCAAACCCTGCCCTCTACAGGCTCCCCCCCCAAAAAAAAATCTCCAGGTATTTCCTAACACGGAGCTGGCAACCCTACCAATAATGGACTTTTCCCCTTACTTCATTTATCACATTGCCTTTCTCCCCAATGGAGGAAGTGGCTTTACATCCTTCTCACCTCCGTTTTATCCTCACAATAACCCCGTGAGGTAGATTAGATGGAAAGCACGTGACTAGCCCAAGATCACCCAGTGACCTCCCATGGCAGTGCAAGGATTCAAACCTGGGTCTCTGACACTTGAACCTGTACACTGCCCTGGCTCACACTACATAGCTTGGCCCTTAGTAGCTGAGTGAAGGCAACTAGATTTGGCCAAGAGACTAAGACAGGGGTACCAAACATACGGCCCGTGGGCTGGAACCGGCCCTTCCAGGGCTCGTATCTGGCTTACAAACAACTAATTGCCTTTACTGACAGATGACAGAGGCTGTGCATTATGCCCGTGTACACTCTCCCAGTGCTTATGAGTAAGGGGCGGTGGAAGTGGGAGGGTGGGCATCAGGGAGATACTTTAAGGAAATACTGTAAGAGTGTTAATGTTTAAAGTATGTTTGTATTTTGAGTAAAAAAAAATATGGTTAATTAGGTTTATAAAGTTTGTATCCCCAGTACCTGGCATTACATTTTAAGGTACACACAGCCTGACCGGACAAACTGACATTCATGCCAGATCCTTGTAACAAATGAGTTTGACACCTCTGGACTAAGAGGACTGGGGAGACAAAGGCAGGCAGGACTCCTCCTGTCCAAACCACCTTTAAGAGCATTTCACTGAAACCCAAATGTACTTCCATGCTGCAATTGTATACCCATGTGAGGACTGTGATGCGCTCACCCACTGAGCAGATGGCTACATTGATTGAGATCATGGTGAAGCTTAGAAGGTGAACCAAAAAGTCTGAGAAACCCTGCAAACAAGTGGATCTGAGCAGAAGGGCTGGAAGCTGGAACACACATTCCTTTGAAACTCCGGAGAGCTGCTTTGCCAAGAGCAGGCAGGGCAGCAGTCTAGAAACGAAGGGCTGGTTTAGTTCTTGGTGTGCCTGGTGGGCGGGCGGGGGAGGGGGGAAGTTTATTTTTAAGCATCTTGAGAGGCACGGATGCACGCAGCCCAATTTGCAGCCTAATTAAACAACAGGATTCTAAATGCATTTATTTCCAAGTGGGCCCCATTGGTCTCCACAGGACTCCCTTCTTCCGCCTGCTGTAGTTGGATTCCTGTCCATTTCCACGGCCTAATACCCATGGTGCGCGCATCCCAAGTACTCCGTGCACCCGTAG